CGCTATCTCGGAGCGAGACTGCTTGGGTATGCACATGACACTACGAGGTGTTGTGAGGTCAGGGACATCCGTACTCGAACGAAAGCTCCTTCAGCTTCTCCGGGATCTCTTCCTGCCCGGGCTGGAGCATCTTGGCCATGAACGACTTTTAGATTGGGAGAGACTCAGCGGTGTTTTGGTCTGAACGAAGGAAACTGTAGGGATTGGAGGATCTCGACTTGAGAATGACGGCTTCGATTTGAGAAACAAGGGTTTAGTAAAAAGTCGAGTCGAGGGTACGAGGAGAAAAACAACGACGAGTGCCCAGGCCTCGTCCACTGACAGAGGGTTTCAATGCCTGGAGCTTGGGGTTTCTGCGAAGTCGGGGACCTGTCTGCCCAAGACCCCGAGCCCTGGTTGCTGCTGTTGAGTTTGCATGGCCGAGCCTCAGATCTGACAGCCACGGATTGACGGGGTTTGCTCAAAAACAGGCTGAGCAGGGCTCTAGCTCGGATAGACTTTCCACGAGAGTTTCGTGCAGGATTCGCAAAAGGCTCTCAACCTCGCTTGGAGAAGTGCCGCATGGCCTGGAATTAGCAATGCTCACAATGACTAGTCTGTTCTTGCCTTGTAAGAGTATAGGAGTATGGCTGCTGCTATCCATGCATATCAGGGCACGACCGCCGCCAACGTTCCGAAAGAAGACTTCGACCCTGGATGTGCCTCCGACTCCGACATCTTGCCGGAAGAGGCCGCAGTCGGGCGCTTGGAAGGCCTTGCAGCTCCAGATCGAGCCGTAAGAAATCGGGCTCACGGGGAATTCGGCGCAGTGGATCTGTTGACTTCAGCTCCGTTTTCGCTTCCGGCTCTTAACCACGATGCACAAGCGCAATTCTCACAAGTTCTGCTTGGTGCCTCAACATGAAGGTTCCCTCGGACCTCAAACCTTCTTCGGTAGCTTCTGGACTCTGAGGAGCTTCGATCCCGCAGTAGAACAGAACCTGGGAGGAAGCCCTGAGCCAGAAACCCGAAACCGCCGGAGCCTTGAGCCAAAACCCTGGGCCCAGGCTGGCGAAGGGGCGACAGCTGTTCCGAAGTCGATGGCTCAGGCCGCCGGCATCGGAGTTCCGTGCTCTGTGTCTTGCTTTCGTGCCGCGTTTCAGGCTTCATGCTGCCCTCGGACTCGGACCTACGAGTAGGACTTATTTACCCCTTTTCTGCTTCCCGCGACTTGCATCCGAAATGTCTTAATACAATGCCAAGCTGTGGGTCAGGACTCACTCAGAGTCGAAGGCTTGAGCTGAAATCTGCAGGAATTTCCAGGCGACGTGTCAGCCACTCCGGCCATGGCATAGCACCACGGACTTGAACCGCCTGCTATGCACACAACATGACAGCGCAAGGCAGAACCTCGTCTAAAGCCCCTGTTTCCCTCGGTCCCAGTCAGTAACCCCGCTTTGCTGCAAGCTGCCGGATGAGTCGCATGTCCTCACTTTCCTCAGATGCTCTCCTGTCATCCTGAGCCTGCGGCCTTTTTGGAGGCTAAGGAAGCTCCCAAGGGAGCCATAGAGGGAGCCATACTCGATGTAAAACCCCTATACTTGCTCATCTGAGAGGTCCACACACACACACACACACACACATCCGTAGGACAGCGGCCGCAGTCTCCGCAGCAGAGCATCACGCGCTGGGCTCGCAGGCGCTATCAGCGCGACAGTGTCCGACCTCAGACAATCATGTTAAAAAAATCCGATCGGAAAAGCTACGACACGCTTCATCTTACAAGAACCTCGGAGCCGAGACATTCAACCTTCCGTATCCTCTAAATCTTCAGGCTCGTCCAAAGCCAGAGCGAACCTGAAGCCTGCACGCTGCAAACCTGCAATTTCTGCAGCTCAGACCCCACCCTCCAGAACTCCGGGGCCCCTGATGCTCGGAAGTCTTTCCACGTCCCGGCTCCCCAATCACGGCTCGACCGGAGAGGCGAAAGCGTGAAGCACAAAAAATCTCACACCCCTGTTTTCCTTCACCTCTCCTTCAGCTCTCCAAGCCTTCTTCAGCTCCGAAGACCGGGGCGGCGACGGAGAGCCGGCGGGCGGCCTGGGAGCTCCCACCTGATCCGACATCCAAAGGATGCAGGGACCCAGAGGGCTCAATGTGCTGAAAGGCCCGGCGTTTTGATTTTGAGTCAAGGTTAGGGGGGCACTTATGTACCCAGCCCCTCGAACCGGAAGGCTGCGAGGTTCGGGCTCTGGATGTAACCGTAACTTAAATTTCCTTGCCCACCGCTGCACACGTGCCCGCCGGAAGCACAGGCCGTGGTTTTGTTTTCAGGCCCGTTGTGGGCTTCGGACGCCATTTCGGGTTCAGGCGTCGGCGGGACCATCTCTGAATTCAGAAAGCTTGCCCAACCACTCAGGCAAGATGGCAACCTCACGGCTCCAATGAGTAGGCATCACGTGCAACAACAGTCGACGTAAAGATGCATACCTTGATTCGCAAACCTGCACCCCCACTTCGAAAACTCCTTCAAGCAACAGACCGAGCAACGGAAGAGAAGTCCGGAGACCATGAAGCCAGAGAGCCCGTGCTTGCTTGACTAAGTTTAGACGGCAGAATGGAGAAGAGAAAACGGACATTTGTCCCCATCCAAGGCAGCGAAGCCCAAGTGGCATCCATAGGCCGGAGGCTCGAGCTTTTTTTCGTTCCCTGCAACTGCCCGCCACCCACAAGCCATGAGCTTGTCTTGGCCTTACAAAGCCGGCCTGGGGGCTGCACCCCATCACCCCACCATCTCAGACCCTTCGCCCTCCAACATGAAGAGGTAACCTCCCAGATCGGACCGAAAAAACAAAACATCGAAACGCGCACATGCCCCGGAAACCCTCCAACTCCCATACTGC